ATATAAAGATCAAAATTAAATTTCAATATAAAATAAATAATTACAAATTTTAAACAATTTTAAAATAGAAAAAAAAAAGAACTCACCTGGATTATATAAGTAATAGTAAATACAAAGATCACAAGAAAGCCAGCAACAAAATCTCCACTTCCCACCTACTCTACTATCACTATACATAAAAAAAAATTAAAATCATAAGTATTTTTAATGCCATCAGCAATGCCTCTATCTCATCAACAGTGTATGGATCAAGTCTAGACGTGATGGAAGTAACGAAACCATCAAACTCATCCGGCAAACCATCCAGAATTGCATCAATATGATCTTCATCAGAAACAGGCGACCCAACTACAACAAGAGAGTCAACAATTTTCTTGATTTCTAGGAGATATTCATTGATACCTTTATCTTTCTTGATCATCCGAAGCTGCAATTTCAATTTCTTGATAACAGCTCGTGTGCGCGCAGCATAATATATCTCTAACCTCTTCCAAATTTGATAAGCAAATTTCAATCCTACCATCTTTGTCAAGATTGGTGAGGACATTGATGCCAAGAGCCACGCGACAAGCAGTTGATCTTGTTGAACATAATTGGTGTATTCAAGATTCTCCGTCTTTGCTTCAAGATTCTCCGTCTTCGCAGTTTCATTTTCTTTTGTAGCAAAACGTGGTGGAATTGCATCTCCACGAACAAATTTCTCAAGTTTTAACCCTCGAATTGTTGCAAGAACCTGTTTTTCCCAAATCAGGAAATTATCATCATCTAATTTGATAGCAATCGGCATATTGAGCGTGTGTGGAACGAATTGAGATGCGGAAGTCATGGTTGATGTCACAGTGCTCTTGATACCATGTTAGAGTTCTGTCATGGAAGAGAGAAAAACAGAGAAAGTGTTTATCTGTATTGATGCACACAGAACAGAGTACAGCAAATGAATAAAGTGTCTTATATAGACACTATTACAACTGTTAAAAAATAAGGATTTATGACTATTTATTATTTCCCTTTACATAGATCTTACCTGTTTTTAAACTTCTTTTTCTTTCTTGAACTAAGCTAAATTTCACCTTTGAGCTTTCCTTGCTACATGTTATATAGTTGAGCTTTCTAGCTACATGTTATATAGTTGCTACATGTTCTGCAACTTGTTAGGATTTTACACCTGCAAGGTTATACAGACCTCGCTGGGAATAAAAAAACTTAAATTCTAATACATTTCACAAAAAAGCAAAATTCGGCAATCCAATCAATTTACAACATAATTTCTGTTTAAATCTAGAAATTGTATTTGCTTCCAACAATATTAAGATAGAACATAGAAGAATTAATAATGTATCGTCTTTAAATGCAGTAACCATAAGAACTGAAAACTCAGGTCCAAGCATGTAATGTTGAGCCTCTGGTTCACGAGTGCGTCACCTACACTTTTCAAAATAGCTGGACAACCTACACTAATATTTTGAACACTATCTTTTGAAGTGTCTTCACTTTTCTTATACCTCTTTTAAGATACCAGCCACTTCTAATCTACATCAAGGGGTATGCTTTCTTCCTTATATTCTTGAAGCATGTAGTTGCAACACATTATCTTCTTTGATACCCTGGAGTAGTTACAACTTACAAGATAGTAAAAAGCATGTAGATGCTATGTTAACCTTGCAACTGGAGAAACAATCTTGAGTATGCTTACCAAGCTGCAACAACTTTTGAAGGGTTAGACTATGCAAACAGAACAAGCAATATAATAATAATCCATGGATATTATATAGCAAGCTGAAAATGTAAATATACACTAATTATAAATATTATCATTCGTTTCTACAGTATTAATATGCCAACGTGTTCATAGATTAGCAACAGCTAATCAAATAAGAAAAATGCTTCATAATCCAGCTTCATCTCTTTCAAGTTCATAAGATAAATAAGAAATGCAAAATACAAGAACAAACATGTCATTCCATTGCAAGATATGTATAAAGTTGAAACAAATGTCATCTGGGATGTATGTTTAGAACAATACAAAAATTATTCGACTGTGAAAGAAAAAACGGAAGTACTATGTATGTTACTAATCCCGGGCAAAAGATAAAAGAAACAAATCACAATATTAATAATTACCTAGTCAAGAAGATGTCTTTCAAGGACAATAGATCCAATAGCACTTCCCCAAAAATGTAAATGTCCAATCTCATCGTTAATTTTCCACAAGTAGCATATTCAGTAGTACAATAACCCTATCTTACTGTGATCCTAGTGGCAACTGGCAACTGGCAACATCAGCCTTCAGTTGCTCCAAATTTTGCAAGCCCAAAATGAGAGTTTTGAATGGAAACCTTTATCCAAAAGAGTGTTGGATCATTTGCTTCATGGTAAAGATAATTTAGTCTTTTGCTTCCTTGGCAGCTATAATCATTCTGGTATTCCAATATAGCAGTTCTTTATCAGCTGAAATATCTGCAAATAACCCTTGTCAAATCGTGGCTACTACAATATAACAAGTGGACAAATATGGGACAACATTTAGCATCCTCGCCTGTAACGGATGTCTTGTTCAGCATGGTTGCAACTAAGAACAGAACATGTGAATTGCATCGGAGCAAAGGGGTTGGCATTAAGATACGAATAAGGTCTATGCGTTTTTGGTGAATATATATGCTTACAGAGAATAGAAAAGTCACGTAAATGTTATAAAGCATTATAAACAGATATCACACATGGAAGCATTTAACAAACTAGTAGCACACCCTCTTCAGCCCAATTAATTGTGGAATCTCCCAGTAAAAGAAATGTGATCCATCTAATCTAAATGTAGTGAATTCATTTTTGAAACTACCATTGTCTACAGATCCTTTAGAAATAACTTTTGTCAACTTTATGATATGTATATTGTTTCATCGTTTAGGTAAATTAAACATTTACCTAAATTTCATTTGATTTTCTTGCGGGGTAACCTTTACTAACAGTAACTAACTGATGATAGTTTGATGTTAAAAAAAATGCATTAAAGTATATTACGATAGAGATCGCTAGGAACCCAGACAAAGAATTGAAGAATGAGAATGAATTTTTTTATTACTATTAGAGAATGTGATCCGAACCAAAAGATGAGAGAAATCTCCATGCAAAGGCTTCCCTTTCACAACTGACCTAAAGCTCAGTTTTCCAAGATTAACCAATTAACCGAGGACCCATCTTCTACCCTTATGCTATTTAAGCCAACTGTGCAACCGATTATGTAACTATAACTATTTTCCATAGTAGTCAATCCCGGATAGCGGCGCGGAGCGGCCGACCCTAAAACTGGGATAGCGGGATGACGCGGAGCGGGATAACCGCTATTTAAATATTAATTTATATATATTAAATAATTAATAATATATATATAAAAGCTAAAAAAACAAAAAAATAACTCTAAATTCATGCATTAAACATTTTTAATAATTAAAAGTTCATAGTACTCAAACAATACATAATATAAAATGTCTCCAAAACAAAGTGTTAAAGCTCTAAGTAAGTAAAAAATTAAACATTATAATCAGAAATTAAAAATAAAATTTGCTAAATTAAATTTAATCAGAAATTAAAAACAAAATTTGTTGAATTAAATTTAATCAGAAATTAAAAATAAAATTAGCTGAATTAAATTTAATCAGAAATTAAAAATAAAATTTGTTGAATTAAATTTAATCAGAAATTAAAAATAAAATTAACTGAATTAAATTTAATCAGAAATTAAAAATAAATTTTTCTGAATTAAATTTAATTAGAAATTAAAAATTAAATTTGCTGAATTAAATTTAATCAGAATTTAAAAATAAAATTTGTTGAATTAAATTTAATCAGAATTTAAAAATAAAATTTGTTCAATTAAATTTAATCAAAAATTAAAAAAAAAATCAGTTGAAATAATTTAATAAATAATTAAAAAAAAATATGTTGCATGTTGCATAAAAGACAGAACCAAGGAGAATAGGGGAATAGAAGAAGACAAACGCGAGTCGGAGGAAGAAGAATAGAAGACAAACGCGCGTCGGAGCTTGCGGCCACGTCGGAGCTGCGTCGGACCTGGAGGCTCGTCGGAGTCGGAGGTGCGTCGGAGCTGGAGGCGCGTTGCCGATGGAGGTGCGTCGGAGCCGGAGTTCGTCGGAGCTGCACGCGATCGCCAGAGAAGAAGAAACAGAGAGGGAGAGACGAGCCGAGGTGTTTGTTTTGGATGAGTCTGAAATCGCGAGAGGGAAGGGATGATTAGGGCAAAAAAAGCCCATTGAAAAGACTGACTTACCCTTAATGAAGGGTAAGTCTGAAATCGCGCCCGCGAATCCGCGATTTGGGCCGCTCCGCTACGCCTCCGACGCGGCCGCTCCAGCCGCTACAGAAATCCGCCACGCGACAGCAGCCACATTGCGGGGTGAGGCCACTCCGCTCCGGAGCGCCGCGATAGCGGCCGCTCCGGCCGCTATTGACTACTATGCTATTTTCCCACCATATTTTCAACTCTAACCACTTGACCTTATTTCCAATTATCCCTCTGACATGGGCCCTATAAACAGAGATGAGAGATTCTATGAATCCCAAATGCATGTATTCATAGACATAACCAATCGTACTAAAATGACCCCCTTCCACACCATAACTGATCATATTAAAATGGTTGGGATGCTGTAGGAGAGGGCATGAGAACCTCAACTTGAAATTCTTTCTCTCTTTGGACACCAATGGTATCAAATCTTTTAACAGCTACAACCTGATCAAACATTCCAAACCTCTTATCTTGGTAAAAGAATTATATTGCATGGCAACGTAACTGATTTATTGGCATTGTAAAAGAAAGATGAGGGAACAATAAAACAACTAACAAACTATGATTAACTAGTTAACTAAAAACAGAATAGTTTATTACCCAAATTTTCTGGAAGTTATCAAGTACTTTTATTCTTGGAGATTGCTGGGTTTTCCCTAACAAGGACAAACTCAGCTACCAAAACAGGACAAATAGGAAGAAATCAGAAATCTAGTGTTTTTCTACCAGATTTTACTGCCCAAGGTCTGTTAACTAGATCTAAGGGACAGAACCATAATAAAAAAGCAATAAAACAATTGAATGACTTTCAATTTTCAAAAAAACAAATCTTTAAAGAAAGAAAAAGGAGAGAGCAAAGAAGAAGAAACAACCTTCAATAAAGCAAGCCCAAATTGAAGAAGGATATTCAACATTAGAGAAAACATAGCTTTCTTATCCCCCTAAATACAGTTTGAGAATCTGTTAAAACTGGTACCATAACAGTGAGAAAGATTGAATTTTATTGACAGAACAATAGGGATAAGAAAAACCTCAATTTTTAGAATATAACAGAGGCCGCATCTCCCAAGCCAAAAGGCCCTAATTGCCTCTAGCTAATGAGAAGATGTCCTCTCTCTTACCCCTACTTATTTATAGACAATACACCTTATATCACTGACAAACTAACCTAACTAACTAACTAATGGGTAAGTTGATGATACAACCTTCTGTTTCCTATTATATTAGGCATTCTAGAGTCAACAATCTTTTCTGCATAGTCAAGAGGACAACTTAATAAATATAGCTACCATCAGTCGAATGGTGAAAATTAGGCCAAAAGTCAACTTAATAAATATAGCTTCACTTAAGATTAACATTTAACTATGTTTCATTACGTAGTCATTTACTCTGTAACAAGTGTATTATTAGATTGGATAATGTCGAAAACTACCAGGGAGGCAAACCATGTGTTACACTGGTACTGATAGAAAAGTGAAAGCATTTCATTACAAGAAGACAGGACAATTTGGAAAGACCCAGCCCACTAGTAATAATGAAAGATAAGCAAATAAATTCAATATTCGACAGCAACGACAAACAAATGTATTTTCCCTTCTCATTAGGTACAGTCAATTACATCATCAGGTCAATCCGAAATCGACTTCTGTAAGCATAAAAATGATTTACACCACTACACTACTGTTAACAATCTAAGCATGGTGTTCCTCCTTCAGTGCAAAGTAATCTCATTTAATGTGCTATATGAAGGAAAGATGATCGGTATTCAAAACCCATATAAGATGTTGAAATCATTAACATATTGTTTGAAGTAATTGTATCTAATCAGTCCACATGTCTAGGAAGCAAAATAGTAGTACCATGTAATGCACAGTACCTGCATCCAAAGAAACAAGGCCCGCCACTATCTCAATAACAACCATCCAAAGAACCACATTGCACGCCCAACTTCAACTTCATATTCAAATTCAAACTCAACCCATTACTGATTCCTCCATCTCAGGATACCCCTTGCGAGCCATAACCGGTTTCACTTTCATCACTTGCCTGTACCTATTCCACATGCCATCCTTAATTCTCTTGTGCAAACCATCATCCTCCTCCAACAACCCACCCTCTCCGGCGGCGCAAAGCGCGTCACAAACCAACCTATAAGTGTACTCTCTCGGCACAGAGCCTCCATCAACCAACTCAACAAGAAACTCCCATGCCTCAACAACTCTCCCAGCCTCACAAAGCGCGTGAATAATGGGCGTGTAGCAACTCGAACCGGCAACCCCATGGCCCAACTTCTGCATATCCCTCAACATCTCAACACCCTTATCAACCTCATTCACAGCACTATAGTACCTAATGAAAGACCCGTAAGTAACACGGTTGGGAACAACGCCCCTCTTCTTCATGTCATCAAACAGCTCCAAAGCTCTCTCCACGCGCCAAGTCTTGCAGCACCCGTCGATCAAGGCGTTGTAAGTCACAACATCGGGAACCAACCCTTTGAAGAGCATCAACCGGAAGAGACGCCCGGCCTCGTACACGCGGCGGCGCGTGGCCTTCCGGCAGCCGGTGAGCATTCCGTGGCGGCAGTAAGAGCTTATGAGGATGGTGTAAGTGAAGGTGTCCGGCGGGCACCGGAAACCGGGGAGCTCCATTTGCTGGAGGAAAAACCGCGCCTTGGCGAAGTTCCCGACGCGGCAGAGCGCGTGGATGAGCGCGTTGTAAGAGTGGGTGTCGGGTCTGCAGCGGAACTGCTTCATCCGGTAGAAGGTGAGCAAGGCTTGGTCGGCGAGGCCCTCTTCTCCGAGGAGTTTAATGAGGCACGTGACGGTGGCAGTGGTCACGTGACCGCAGCGCTTGAGGAAGTCCCAGAGGGGTTTGACTTGGGCCGCGCGGGCGAGGACGCGGGCCATCTCGCGGCACGTGGGCTCGGAGTGGGCGAAGTTGAAGCGGGCTTCGACCCAGCGGAAGAACTCGAGGGCTTTTTGGGGCCCGAGGTGGGCCTTGTAGGGGTCCCGGTGGGCCGCGGGGCCCAGGACGAGGGTGCTGTTGCGGAGCTTGTGGTGCTCGAGGGTGAGGTTGCGCTGCCGCAGCGGGGTGCGGTGGCGGAAGCCGCTCTGGCGGCCCATGGAGCGAGGGGACTGGAAGGCGTAGCGGGAGATGGATCGGAGAACCTCCGTGACGGCGTCGTTTGTCCATGGCGGCGGTGACGGTGGCGGCGGGTGGGCGTCGAATGGGAGGTCTTTGATTACCAACACCAGTGCTTGGTTGGCGAGGTGTTTGTGAAAATGACGCACCGGGTTTGCTGTTGTTAACATTCAGATTTGAAAATGCACTAAAACGCCCAAACCAAGCAGAGAAGCCAAACTTTAAAAAAAAAAAAAAAAATTAGGAGAAAATGGGGGAAAAAGTACTATTTATCAATATGTTGTGTATCTCATCTTCGCACATCGACATGCTAATCTTCTATGTATTATTTCAATTTTAATGGATGGGTTTAATTACTTTTTTTGTTATATAATTTCACAAAACTTATCTTAGTTGCCATAACTAAACATAACTCATTTTTATTTTTATTCATACATGTTTTTTTTTCTTATAACTTCATAAATTTTACATTTTCCTTCCTATAAAAATAGATGATAAAGATTAAAAGAGAACAAAAATTTGATATATAGAGATTAAAATAGAATATTTTTAGTTATAAAGATTAAAAAATAAAATTTAATAGTTATAGACAAAGAAAATTTCAACAATTTTTATTAGAAGTATGAATTTTATTGATAATTTTTAATGATCAAATGTAATCATGGATTTTTTGAAAACTTAATAGCATAATATTAGCAATTCATGGAAGTGTCTCCTTCTTGTGAATGACCAAGTTCTTTCAACACCCTTTTCATCCAAATTGCTTGATATGCACAAGTTGTTGTTGCCACAAAGTTAGCCTCAGTTGTTGATAAAGTAACAAGAAGTTGCTTTCTCAATGACTAGGCAATTACACCTTCACTCATCATAAATACATAACTAGTGTTTTTCTAATCTCCAACATCACTTACATAATTGTTATTTGTGAAGACAAACAAGTTATCAATCCGTCCTCTCTTGTACAATATTCCATAGTTCATGGTTCATTTTAGATATCTTAGTGTTCGTTTTGTTGCTTGCAAATGCATCTTGATTTGATTGGAGATAAAATGACTAATTAGACTTACAATAAACATGAGATCTAGACGTGTTGCTCAAAGATACATTAGGTTTCCCACAATTTGTTTGTAATAAGTTTCATCAACTTTGACTCATTTTTCATCATTGTATAATTTGTATCCTAGAACTAAGGGATTGCAAACTAAATTGCACTATTTCATGCCAAGATGATGTAATACTTCAACTACATATTTTCTCTTACATAAAAAGACCATTTTTCTTTGTAGAACCTCAATGCTAGGGAAAAATCTTGATGGAAACCTACTTCCTTTAGAATAGATAAGTCCAAGAAGGGTGAAGGTTGACAAAGTTGGTTTGAAGAATTGTAAGGCACTTACCCTTATTTAGTAAGGTACCTTACCTTAGGAGGTTTATCCTAACTTAAAGGACTCATATTGTTGTTGATGGAAAAGGTAGGAGAAGTGGATGTGATTCTTCTCCTTAGCTTCACCTTAGCTTGGATCTTCTTCAAAGGAGATGGAGACCGAATCTTAAGAACACTTGAAGCCTGAAGGATTCTCGGATGAACTAGGCCTAAGCCTTGGATGGAAGCATCCAAGCTTAAGGAGCAATGGACTACTCACTTCAAAGAGAAGGAAAGAGATGAACTTTCCTAGGGTTTTTGAGGTGAGAATTTTGGTGACTTTGAAAGGAAACTCGGCTCAATGGCTCTCAAATTTCATTCAACTCAAAGTCAATACAATGTGTGGGAAAACACTTAAGTAGGTTTTCGGTTATGCAAACTTTGGGAGCCTAAATCAAAGGCTACATGTGGCGCCCAAAATTTGAATTCAAATTTGAAATTTGAATTCAAATCTTGGCTCCCATGTGCTTGGCCGAAAATTCAGGTACTAAAGGTGCATCTAGGTTGAATTTGGAGTGTCATTTAGGGTTAATTTGAGTGTCACATGTTCAGCCACCAAAGGTGTTAAACATGTGACTCAAATGTAACTTAAATGACTTCCAAATTAAACTTAATTTAACCTAATTAGTCTACTTTAGTATTCCTTGTATTTTCCTATTCTAATGACCTAAATACATTGGTCAAACAAATACAATAGAAAGGAAAAATTACAAAAATGAAAATGAGCCCAATATTGGGTACCAAAAGCCCAAAGGCCCATGAAGCCCAAAACTAGGCCCAACTAGCCTAAAACCTAAAATGCTACTCTATGTGGTCCAAAATAGAAGACCAAAATATATTCAAACTAAGCTAACAAAATATAATAAGAATGTTCATATCAAGATAGGCCCATGTTGAAACTTGATTTGGGCCTTCCAAGCCCATAGGGCCCATTGGGCCTTGACTGGCCCAATCTTCCATGTCTAGCCCTCTCCTCTTGGATCTTTGAGTGTGTCACCTCTTGCATTCCAAAGTATGATTCCATCAGTTGTTATACATTTTTCTTACTTGTAATTTATTTTAGTAATGACTGTATTAGGATATTTTTTACCTTGTATTTTGGGTCAAGTAGTGTAGGTAATTTTTTCCTTGTATTATTTGATGGTGTAATTAATAAATTAGGAGAAGTGTAACTAGCAAAGTCTTATTAGACTTATTTGGACTTTGATGGCCCAAATCATTTTATAGCTCATAGGTTTAGACGTCCACTTGTTCATGCAATTGGTTTGGACGTCCAAACAATGCCAAGCTTGCCATCCAAGCTATAAATTAAGTCACATGGTTTTGATAGTGACATCTCAACAACTTGTTAAAAATAATCATTAATCTAGTAGTTGTAATTATTAAGTTAGGTAGTTGGAGTTAACTTAAGCTAACCTAGGTTATTCTTAAACTAGGATTAGCTTAACTTGCTCCATAAGCTCTAAGACAACTAACTAGACTTGTAGACATTTAACTAAAGTTAGTTAGCTTAAGTACAAGATAGCTAACTATGCTTACATTTAATCATGGTTAATTTAGCTTGTACCATAAGCCAACTAAACTCTATATATTATATTTTTGAACCCATTTTGTGATAGTTTTAAGCATTTTGATAAGTTGGATGAACTTTTTTCTAATTCTCTCTCTCAAAGCTTGTTTCTCTTTTTGAAACTTCTTCATTTTTTCTTATCCTCTCTTGAATGTGGTGAAAATTTGAAGAGACTTATCACTCTTCAAGAGTGTGGCGTCACCTACGGGAGACCCTACCTTTTCCTTATGTGTCAGACATGGCTTCTAACATCATTATAAGTCATTGAAGGAGCTTAAAGGAATCCAAGAAGTCAAAGATCCGTCCAAGAAGCTTAAAGGAGGAATTACATCAATAAAATATCTCCTAAGGTTTCCACCAAATCTCATATTCCTAAGTCATCATATCAAAATCTTTTTTTTCATAGAACACTTAAACTCACGCATCATATTTTCATCATCATCAATGAATAAAATATCATCAACATAAATATCAACAGTGAAAAGTTTACGTTCCTTACTTTGTTTGATAAATAAGGTTTGTTTACTATGACTTTTTGAAATCCTTCTTTATTGAAATAAGACTCAATTATACTAAACTATGCTCTTAGATTTATTTAGTTTGTAAAGTACCTTATGTAATTTACACACCTTTTGTTCACTTCCTTTCTTTTTGTACCCCTTTGGTTGCTCCACATAAACCTTTTCACTTTTTTCTCCATGTAAAAAAGTAGACTTGACATCTAGTTGGTAGAGTTCTCAACCTTTATTTGCATCAAGTGATGTAACAATTCTCACAATATCCATTATTGCAACAAGTACAAGTAACTATGTAAAATCCACTTCATGTTGCTCTGAATAATCTTGAATCACTAGCCTAGCTTTGTATTTGTCAACCTAGCCAAGTTCATTCAATTTAGTCTTGTAAACTCATTTTACTCTTATTTTCTTTGCCCTAACTAGTAACTCTACTAACTTCCAAGGTTGATTTCTCTCGATGGATCTGATCTCTTCATCAATGGCCATACGACACTTCGAGCACTTCATTACTTCCTCAAAATTTGTGAGATTTGAAGATATGATAAATGCCATATTCATATCTTCTTTTCCTAATAAACCATCACCTAAAACATAATCTTCCATCCATAATAGAGGATGTTTATCTCTTCTCTCCTTACCATTCATCCATTTTTGATTTGTCGTACTCGAAGAGACCATTCAACTTCTGCTTCTTCAACTCTAGTTTCATTTGTTCTAGATTTTTCTCTTATATTATTTTCATTTTCACTATCATCCCATTATATGTCCATCAACATGTTTGTTCATAGCTTGATCCCAATTCCATTAACTTCATTCTTAAAAAATTATATATCAAATCACAATGAGCTTTTTTTTTATAATGGGATCATACAATTTGTATCCTTTAGACTCATCACTAACACCAAGAAGCAAATGGCTCATACATTTTGTCTTCAAGCTTTGTCCTCTTAGCATTTGGTATATGAACATGCCCAACATATGAAAACACTATAAAATGCTCCACAGGTTTCTTTTTATCACTCCAGGCCTTTTATAGAGTAATTTCCTTAACAACTAATGTAGGTGATCGATTCAAAACATGCATTGTCTATTTCACTATCTCATGCCAAAAAATCTTGGCATCGCTTTTTCTAACAACATTAATCTTAGAAGATTTATCATAGTCTGTTTTTTGCGCTTAACTACTCCCTTTTGTTGGGTAGTGTATGTTGTAGTTAGATGCCTTTTTATCTCATTATGCTTACAAAACTTGTTGAATTCCAAGGAGTTAAACTCCTCACCTCTATCTATATGCAACCACTCAACAATCAAACCAACTTTCTTTTCCTCAAGCATCTTGAAACACTTAAAGAAATAAAAAGCTTCTGATTTTTTTGATAAAAAATTATTTCCATGCCTTTTTAGAATAATCATTTATGAAGCACTGTACCTCTTATTACTATTAGAAGCTTGGGGGCACAAATGTATGCGTGAACCAATTTTAATCTTTAAGTTGTTTTCCATTGACTTTTCTTGGGAATTGAATCATGATGTTGCTATCCTTTCATGAAATCAGTACATATGTTGGGATTTCATGGGTAGTTTTCAAAACAATTTTAATAAAATAATCCCATGAGAAAAATAATCCCTTTTCCTATGGATCACACATTACCAAGAACCATGTTATGGGTTTTGAGATTTTACCTTTGTAGCGCACTTTATGTCTTTTGGAGATTCCTTTATGTGGTTGAAGGATAAACACCTTATTCCTTCCTAATCACCAAGCACCAAAGGGTATGATGCTTTTACTCAATTCACATTAGCAACGTAAAGGGAAAGATTTTGGTGCAATCATAGGTGGATGGAGTTAGGGTCTTGCGTTTCTCACAAAACTCTCATAGAAGCCTTTCTGTTTTTTTTTTCTCTTAAAAAGATATGCATAAGTGTAATTAGGTTAACTTATCATAGATTATGTATAGAAAACAGAGACACTTGTGTCACTCAAAAACTCACACTTTTCATGGAACAGTGAGGTAATAACGGTGTAGTAAGGAGTACAGACAAAAAGATAAATAGTAAGATCACAAAGTGTTCTTATATTGATTCGTCTCAATCACCAAGATTATGTCCAATTCTTGATCCAACAAGATCAATTTTTACTATCTTATACAAGATACAAATATTCTTTACCAAGTCACATTTGGCTCAATCCTACTTTGTCTTGCATCTTCAAGTAACTACTCAAGTATTCTTTTACACAAAACCTCTCCAAGCTTCAATACTGAGTATTCTTTTATAGATAGGCCTCTTTAGGCCCTAATACTAAGTATTCTTTTATAGATAAGTCTTTCCAAGTTCAAACCTAATAACTCAAAGTTACAAAAGTTTATAGAATTGGTTCGTCTTCCTTTCAAGAAATGATACAAGTTAAGTGCAAAAACTTTTTACAAGAAATATTTTTCAATTGATTGTTTCTATATTTCTTATCAACCTATTTCTTTCTTTCTAAAATTCAAACTTCCTTTATAAGACTTTAATGAAGATGACCATCTTAAATCCTTAAGTTTTATCTCTTACGACTTGCTTCGTCAGTCTTTATGATTTGCTTCTTGAGGAAAGAAGTGTCTGTTGGTGTAATAAATGGTTGTATTAAATGTTTTCACCAATTTATCACTTCTTATTTGATCAAAGAAACTATTTATCATCTTTTGGGTATCAAATGGGTACAACCATGCGTGTGTCAAGATGTCACATTGAGAAAACAACTTTTATCTGCAACTTTCTATGTTTGCAATTTTTTGATGCAAAACATGTCTTCTTTTTTTTTTTTTCCTTTTTGTAGAGTGTTGACACCGAAGAAGTATTTTTAAATTCGATATGATAAGGAAACATTTAGCCATAGTCAATTCCTTGTTTAGAAATCATAAATGATAAAATATTTAATACATATATCTTTTTATGACTAAGGGTTCGTCTTAGCTAGTAACAGAAATGTCTTAATGCATCTTTTGTCTTATTGACGAATTGCATTTTAGTAAAAGATTCATCTTAGTTGTTTTAAGAACTTATACTTTTGATCAAAAATCTCTTTATTTGTTAACAACAAAACATAAAACAAAAGGGATCTAAGATTATCTTTTGATCTAATAGATTATTGTTAACCTAATTGACTTCTTTGTTGGGTTTGTTGTGAACAAACCCAATATCTTGTCCATTTTTTAATTAAAACATTTAATTAAATCTATTGTCAATTAATTAATTAACCTTTTAATTAAATAATATTTAATTTAATGACTTTGTCCCAAATATTTTTTCTACGTGTATGACCCCATAGGTTAATATTTAATATCATTATATTAAATATTATAAACAAATATTGAAATATAATAATGCGTCATTGCCACCAATTAAAGAGAATAAATCGGTGAGTCAATCTCAACCTTTCTACAACCATAATTATAGTAGGATAATTTGTTCGTTTGTCCATATCTCGTTGATTGAGCATAAGACATAATATTGTCATTCTCGTTAAGTTCAATCATACATTTATCAAAATATTCATGTAGGTGCTAAAATATAAATAAGCACAATATCTAATATTGACTAATTCTAACGTTACCACATATATTTTACGTTTCACTCTATTGAGATACCTAATGCGCATCTCCTATAGGAGTGATGAATCCTCTCTACATCACTCATGATTCATTATAGGTCCAATTAACTTGCATTTTAGTAACTACCTCTTTGATTTTTATTTTTCTTAGAAATAATTATACCTTTAAACAATTACTATAAAGAATAATATGTACCACCTTAACAATGTAGTCACCTATTTATTTTACTTTTTAATTTTATTTTTTAGTATGCCTCTTACCCTACTAGTCATCATTATATAAAAGAGTATTCTATTTTATAACAACTCTCTTTAGTTTTTTTTTAATATAAATATTTTTACTCATTATTTATATATATTTTTTTCATTTTATTTTAGAACCCAGATGTAATTGCTTATAAAAAATAATAATTTTTTTTATTGATCATAAATTTATTTTACCTTTTTATTTTTCGGTAGACAAAGTATATATATATATATATATATTGTAATTATACGTCACATTTTATATAAAACTCGCTGTTAGATAATACTTCACATTGACTTTTGGGTCTATTTGTTTAAACCCTAAACCTAAAAAATAAAAAATAAAAAAAATAAAAAAGTAAAAAATTGCTTATTTTAAATAAAGAAATCTAGACAAATACATTAAAAGTAAAAAAAAAAAAGTGTTTATTTTATTAAACAGAAGAGATTTTATAAGAAAAAAAAAAGTTAAAACAAATAGACACTTTATAGTTTATATGTAATTTTAATGTATTTTCTTGTTTGACATTTTAATAATATCGAATACCAATTGTATTTTTTTTTTCTTAATTAGTATTTTAGCATGGACATTGTATGAGATAAGTGTTTATTATATAACTAAAAATTATAATAAACCATACAAACAAATAAATTATATATTTAAATATATAAGTTATATTTGAAATTTATATAAATAAATATTTTAAACATATATTATATATTATATTTATAATAAATAATTTATATTGTGACATAAAATTATTTTTAATTGTTAACAATTTAAAATAATATAAAAAAATTTATTCATAAATAAATATTATAAAAAAATTTATTCGAGTAAGAAATTAAAAAATCCTTTAAAATTTTCTTGTAAAAAAATGTCTAAAATCTCTTTTGTTTTAAAAAAAAAAACTCTTAAAAACAAAAAATTACTATCATACAAAATAATTGTATGTGTTTAATATATAAGAGTGGATTTTTTTTTTTTATGAAATCAGGATAAAACATACAGATAAAATGATTAAAAAAAACTTAAACTAAAATACCAAAAAAAAAAAAATTAAGATTTTTTTGAACGAACTCCTACCATCCCCAACTACTCACTAAACTCCCACATGGCAGTCCTTCCAAATTACTTTTATCCTATGCCGAGTACTTGACCGGACACATTCATACTACACTAAGAAAAACCTAATTGAGGGTCTCATTTCTTTTCCTCGTTTCTACTTTCTACCTCAAACCGTACAACTTCAAACACTCAAAATTTCATTTTTACAGTTACATAATCTGTTTGGCTACATTTAAATTGACAGAAGATGGACTAATAAGATTAGAAAACTCAAATTGTGAAAAGAATGCCGTAACAAATTCTATACTAATAAATTATTATGTTTATACCATAAAGAATACAATGAAATGTGACTTCCAAACGCTACAAATTGAATGTGACGGTTCTCTCAACATTTTTCCTTGAATTACAGTAATTTTGAAGGGAATCGTGATCAACTGTGCCAAGACCAGAAAGTTTGATGCCATAGGCAGCAAGGCGATTAATATCCTTTGGAATAGGAGACTGCCATAGGCCATCCCACCAACCAGGAGGGAGAAGAGGTGTGAAAGCACATTGATTGGTCTGGTTAGGGCAACTCAACGGTCCAGCATATCTGTTCCACACATGGCCCCAACCAATTTGATTCCTTAAACCTTCAGTCAACATATTACTCTGGAAACTGCTAAAAAATGAAAAACTTGAACCTGACGAGTTGTTTCCTGAAGAAAACAATTTTCAGATGCTTTAGCAAAGTGTATGAAGAGAGAGACAAGCAATAACAACTAATACAGCTACAGGGACGAAAGCAGTGCATGTACCTAGATTACGTGTTGCAGCCAGGGCAGCGATTAATTGAGCATAGGTAGTTCCAACGCGGCGATGAGCTCCAGAGACAACAGCATATTTAGCGTGAGATGCAAGAAAAAAATCCACAAAAGCAACCCACCTGGGTGCTGGACCCCAATCCTTCACTCTAAAATCTGACTTGGGCAAACCTTCAAAGATATTTCCTTTGAACTTTTCATAATCAAAATAAACCACCTGGTAAAAAAAGGAACCCCAAGTTTACTGCATGTATTGATAGTTGTTACAAACTTCATGTTCAGACTGTAAGCAATAAGAAACTAGATAATGAAAGTAAGTAATTTCCATTGTCACTAATAAAAACAATTTTTAGCATCAAGAGCGGCATATTGCTGTACTCGGAAGATTGACACAACCTGTGCATATGAATTATCACTAAAAATAAACTGAAAACTTACCTCCGCAAATTCGCTTATGTTGAGCATGATACTTTTAACAAGAGAAGGTGTATCTGATACCACAACCACCTTTGGTCTTGACATTAGGTGCCGACTCTGTATGGCTTTTTTGATGCAATGCAATGCAGCTTGTACAGCTCGTATGGACCTTAAAAAATGACAGAAATAGCATCAATCAGTTAAAGACATGTCCTGTGAGAAGGTAGAGTCCCATTACTATACAAAAAAAGAAAAAAGAAAAGAGATGTTATGTGGATATTTTGTGTCAAATATGCATGTACATCATTTCTGAAGAATGAAAGATACCCATTTCAACATAGATACATGCAGACAGGAATGGATAATAGAATTGACATTCTTTTCCTACTAATTGACATTTTATCATATGGCTAGGTTTTTTGTTTCATGCTTTAAGTTTATGTCATCTGTATATTTGTACGTACTGTTTTGCCATTCAAGAGGCTAAATTATTTGACATCTTAAAACATAAATATCACGCTAGATGACTGTTTGAATGCCTAATACCCGAAGAGTCTATGCATCTATAATGAATGAAGTGATTAAGTTAATATTTGATTTTTTTTTCTTCAGACTTTTTCTTCTTACTTATTTGGTAGTTGAATGGGCAAACAGCACTCCATGGTGTTCAAGTGATAAAGATATTAGCATTTGGCAGGAAGTAATGGAAACCCAGATTGCATAAAGTTTGATATCTGACTTAGCAATATTCTTTTTGAACCGTGGATGAGTTCTGCTCCGGATTAATGGACTTGTTTGAACAGTAATTGAAAAACTACTTAAGATTTTGATATAAAAAAAAATCTCTTCAATTTGCCTAATAATTAGATGGGTACCTATACGATGTACAAATTATTTTGATAACCCGTATAATATAATATCTAACTTTTTCTTGTCATGGTAGTTGTTATATATATATATAAGATCGGAAGATTATAATTTAAAAGTATATTTTATTTCATCACACAAATTAACCTCATTTTTTCTATTAAACAATACAACTATATTGTGCATTTTTTAAATAAAATTAATGCAATTAATTCAATATTTATTTGACTTTATTGTATACTTTGCATATTGAATTTGTTAGTTAAACCTTTCCATATTTTCCTCCTAAAGTGATAATAACACTCGCTAGTATATTTACTAAAAAAAACACTTGATAGTGTGATACCATCATATTATTTTCTTCTTTTATCTTAGCATTCATATTCCTTTTGATTTGAGCGGAAAAATTTTATTGGAAAACTTCTTATGAATTAACCATATGAAAAAATAATGTAAACACTACAATATATTTGTTTTGATATATTGGTTTGTTTTAACTTTTAATTATTAAAATATATTCATCCAAAAATTTCCTTTTATTTTAATATATTTTTTATTTATTTCCAGTAGCAGTTATTAGTATTGATTTTGTGTTTTTTTAGTAAATTGATTAATTTCTGTATTACTTTATTTTATTTTTATAATAATAACATTTATATAGAAAAGTATTGGAGAGAATTTTTAAGGGAAGGAAGTTATTGCAGAGCTTCTTCCTTTTATATTATTAATAGATAATAGATAAATTTATTTTATTTTTATAATAATAACATTTATATAACAAAGTATTGGAGGGAGTTTTGGAGGGCAAGAAGTTAATGCATAAATTCTTCCTTTTATATTATTAATTAATAACATTTATATAGAAGAGTATTGGAGGGGGTTTTGAAGGGAAAGAAATTATTGCATAACTTCTTCCTTTTATATTATTAATTAATAGATATCAAGGTTTGCTTGGTGCAAGTGATTTGGGGATTGGAGGAGAGGAGTTGGAGGGAATTGTATCTAGTATCATCTAATTCCATATTTAAAATTCTGATATTTTTTCCATGTTGTGTTTAAAAGATACCAGGGCCCATATTTGGAACCCAAATTAGAAAAATAGAAGAAAGAAAAGAAAGATTGTATTTCTTGATTAAATAAGAGCAAAGAATAAGAGGGGTAGCTCTCCTCATAGGTTTGTAATTCTCTTCCATAAAGAGCTAATGCGCACTTTACAAATGAAAAGATTTGAATGAATTCCCTCTCTTTCGATCCTCTTATTTATTTATGTCACTAACTCATCATAACAAACTAATATTCTAACTAACTCTCCTTTCCCAAAGTCCAAACAGCCCAATAGACCACACCAACTAAATAATATCAAACTATAAACTGTCCCATATTCCGAGTACTATTTCAGATTTTCACAGATAGATTCTGTTTTTCAATTCTTATTATTAAAGCTACCACATAGTTCACTCGATATTTATTGAAAAGGTAAATAAATTCATAAGAAATATGACCATATAATAGTAAGCTTCACCAACCTCATTTCTCAATCAAGAATGATATTCAACAATATTAGAGTGTAATTATATATCACCTATTCATAAGCATCCGCATATGCAATGAAATGTCAGGATTCTCCCCACCACCAATAACCCAATTGACAGCTGCCTCAACATCTTTTGATGGGGATATGAGAACTCTCATGAGCTCTCCAAATACATTTGGCTGAGATCCAAGAACTTGAGGATCACCAAATAAATCAAAAGCAGCAATTCTCATCTGAGAGTGTATGTTTTTCAAGAAAAATTGAGCTGCCACAGCATCATTAGCTCCTTGAAACCTAAAATATAATGTTCATAGTCATTATATGATGCTTGAAAGACCCATAAGTAGAAAAACCGTGTCACTTTACCATATGATAGGTTGCTTCCATTCCTTCCAATTGCTACAGAGAACATTTGTTTGAGCTGGCTTTTCAAAATCATCAGTCCTCATAATCAGTTGCCTCCCATATTTGCTTTCACAACCATTTTGTCTCCACAGATGCTTTATTTCATTCAAGGTAAAGGTAAAGTTGGAATAAGAAATGTAATCCCCAAAAGGATATTTGCCTCTGAAATATACAACCAAGGTTATAATCAGATAATGGAACTATAAATATAGATGCCAAATTGCTAGGTCAAAGCAGTTTCACAAATCCATCAATGGGAGACTGCTAGGGTTTTATATCTCAGTGGCTGTAAACATATGTAATGTGTCAAAAGTAGATGAATACAGATTGCCATTCAAATATTGCAAAAATGTTTCTCTAACAAGATATCAAGGTATGCTTAAAAAATTAACACATTATATAAGAGCAGTAGGAATTAGATGCTCTAAAGGTAACAAAGGTATCTCCTTAAGATTGAGAGTGAATGATTCAGAATTTAGTTTTACATAGAGTTTTTCATGCAGAACTAATCCCTGAATTTGGAGCCCCATTTTTAAAGGGATACCACCAAACGAACTCTGAAAGAAACTACTACTAGTTAGCATTTCATTCATCCGTTAAAAAAAAGTTAAAAATGAAAAAGAAAGGCTTGGGAAAGAACCAATATGCCTGGTTTGGCCAATGATCAAGGACCGGTTTAACATTAAACTCAGTGCCGCAGCAGTTAGGACCTTGTACATTTCATTCCCAAAACCTGCCTCGGCAGTCTTTCCCAGAACAAATCCATGACTACAGAACTGCTCCGGAGGCAAATTCCTGATTCTCGAAGCACCTGAAACAAAAAATAAGTAAAAATCAATGTCTTCTGATTCTAGAACAGCTGTTTCAGAAGTACATAGTTCCCATTCACAAGTTTATGTCAACGATCTCACTCAGAGGTGCCCAACTATGATTTAAGAATATTTTCAGAAAAAAAAAAAAAAAAAAAGTGAAAAATAGCCTAGATAATCACTAGTCATGATCCATAAACTAGCAAGTGCATCCTTTTAGAACAGAGCAGTTGTCTTGAGTGTGAACTAGATGTATAATGCTTGGCAAACATTAACACGAGCCTATAAGGTTAAGCATCTAAAAGCGATACGTTTTTATTGAAATATAATGCATTTATTACATTAGAAATTAGAAATATACAACAGTGAGTAACTAAACCGATGACAAAAAAAGAAACTGAGAATAATTACGCAAAAGAAAAATGGCACACTACAATCCAAACGCGAAAACTGCAAGAGACCATTTCTTACACAGGTTATTATGTTAATATGAAAGCATTCTTTTAGACCGCGCTAAGAAATTTGACACTTTTAAAGAACAGAAACCTCGGAAATAGTAAATCAAAATCAGAGTAAGTAATTACCGTTCAGAACGAAGTGATCCTCGATAATTCTCCTCACTCTCAGTGTTTCCTTCCCAGAAACACCTGTCTCGAAATCCTTCCCCATCTCTTCCACCGCCGCGCACGGTTTCTCTCCGACGATGCCTGAGCTGTCGCCGCCGCCGCCATCCAATCTCGAATCGTTTGAAACTCCGAACTCGAAATCCCTCGGGAAATCGACGGTGATTGGAGGATCCAACGGCCTCAGCGCCAGCATCAACAGCCCCAAACCAGTCACCGACGCACAAAGAACCAGAAACGGTTGCAACAGCATTCGCCTCTTTCTACCTCCGCCATATCTCATTCTCTCTCTCCTTCTCTCAATTTCTGTATTTTTTTTTTTAAGTTGTCAAGTTCAGCTAAGCTTAGCTTCCTGTTAAGCCGGATCTGAAGTGTTTTCTTTTTGTCAAATCTCAATCACTCTTGTCTCAGGCTTTGTTTAGCAACTAGCATCACGCGTAGCACCGAGATTTCTCGGGTTTGGATCCGATCCGAAACCTCGTCTTATTATAAAGATCCGAACCGGTTCGTGTGAGTGGCGCGCATTACGCACCGCCTCCGACAAACAAGGCAATAATAAAAGCGCAAAGGTTCCCTTCTCTTTCTCTCTCACTATCCATCGCTATCAATGAACCGTAGTTAGTGAGACGCACAAACGAAAAAATAAGTAACGTCAACGGTCAACCACTCAACAAAGAACATAAAAAAAAATTATTTTATTATTATTTTTCAAACATTTGGAAACGCCTTTTCTCTTATTTCTTTCGCCGAGGGAGGAAGCATAACCGTCGTAACAACCATCATGGAGAAGAACCTTGACGAAAATTCCGATAGTGGCAACACGCATAATTTTTCAATTCATGAAGCCACAGATGCAGCGGAGCCACAGGAGGAGAAGAAAGAAGAGGCTACGGCGTTGCCTCCAGCAGGGAACCTCGAGAACGTTTCCGGAGACATTGATCAATTTCTTGTAACTATGCAACAGAGAAACGATGGTAGAAACAAAGAGAATATTGAGATTCCTCACTTTGTGGAGAAATACTTGGATCTCGTGGAAGAGAAGATATTGAAGTATGACGTAGGGGAAGGCAAAGCGAAATGGGGAGAGGTGGAGGAGGAAGATTTGTGGTTGTTGACAACCGCGGATCGGATTTCGAAGCTGATGACATTGCTGAACGATGAACCGGAGAAAGAGATCAACGATGTAAGACGCTCGCTGGTGAACCGCGTTAACCTGATTCACCAGCGCCTCATGTCGTATCTGGAGGAGGACTTCCGAATCATAATGGAAGAATCTAGAATCCCAACCGAATTGGATCCCGGAGGGAACAGTAATAACAACCAGAACAACTTCGATTACAAAGGGAAACAACGAGAGCAAGATCGAGAAATCGAAGACGACGCCAATTTCCCGGGTTACTCGGAGGAGGCCATTGCCAGCCTGAGAAAGATCGCCAGAGAGATGTTATCCGGCGGCTACGAATCCGAGTGCTGCCAGGTCTACATTATCTCGCGGAGGAACGCGTTCGAGGAGATTCTCCAGAAGCTAGGGTTAGAGAGGATCAGCATCGATGAAATGGTTCAGAAGGTGCAATGGGAGACTCTAGCCAGGGACATGATCCCCGCCTGGATCAATACTCTCAGACAATGCTCGGCGGTATACTTTCCCGGCGAGCGCAAGCTCTCCGATGAAATATTCGCCGAGCATTCATCCGTCGCGGCGGGGCTCTTTAGCAGCCTCAACCGCTGCGTGGTGATCCAGCTTCTCAACTTCGCGGAGGGCGCCGCTATGACGAAGCGTGCCGGGGAGAAACTCTTTAAGCTCCTCGACATGTACGAGAGCCTCCGGGACGTGATCCCGAATATAGTCGGGTTGTTCCCGGAGGAATATGTCGAGGAGCTGAAGACGGAGATGGAACTCGCCAAGTTGCGACTTGGCGAGGCCGCCATCTTCATCTTCTGCGACCTGGAGAACCAGATTAAGTCGGAGACCGCGAGAACCGCGGTCCCCGGTGGGGCGGTGCACCCGCTGACGCGCTACATCATGAACTACCTGACCATAGCGGGGGACTACAAGGACACGTTGGAGCAAGTGTTTATGGAGCATTGGCAGGCGGAGCGCGGGGACTCGAGCAGGAGGCAGCAGCAGCAGCAGCAGCAGAAGAAGAAGGAAAACGACGGCGGTTCGGAGAAGGAAGCGGCGTCGCCGTTCGCGGTGCAGGCGATGAGGGTGATGGACCTGCTGGACGCGAGCCTGGAGGGGAAGGCGCGGTTGTACAAAGAGGTGGCGCTGAGGAACTTCTTCATGATGAACAACGGGAGGTACATGCTGCAGAAGATAAAGGGGTCGAGCGAGATGAGCCAGGTGATGGGGGACACGTGGTGCAGGAAGAAGTCTTCGGAGCTGAGGAACTACCACAAGACATACCAGAGGGAAACGTGGAACAGGGTGCTGGCGTGTCTGAACCAAGAGGGGTTGAGCGTGAACGGGAAGGTGCACAAGCCGGTGCTGAAGGAGAGGTTCAAGAGCTTCAACTCGCTGTTCGACGAGATCCACAAGACGCAGAGCACGTGGGTGGTGAAGGACGAGCAGCTTCAGTCGGAGCTTAGGGTTTCGATTTCCTCGGTGGTGATTCCGGCGTACAGGTCCTTCGTGGGGAGGTTCGCGCAGATTTTCGACCCCGGGAGACAGACGGAGAAGTATATAAAGTACCAAGCTGAAGACATAGAGACTTACATTGATGAGTTGTTTGATGGGAAGCCTCACCAGTCTATTGGTAGAAGGAGAACATGATTCAATTCCCACCACTCAAGTACATACTTTATGTTATTTTATATTACGTGTATTTTTACTGTGAAGCAAAAATAAAATTCCAAAACAGCAAAAGAAGACGACGGAAGAGCACGGTGCTGCATGCACAGAATGAGGGGCGTGCAAATTCACGTAGCTAGCTTGACCTGCATGTTGAAATGAATTGCTTTTGCTTTCATGATTGTGTTGTTTTATTAGAAGATGAGAGAAGGTTGGTTTTGTGATTTTTTCTTCTTTTTTTTTGCTTTTGTTTGTACACAGGATAAATTAAATCAAGTTATCTGTTCAATTGAGAATTGACGTCAGTTTGAAAGCTTTACTGTCATAAGTTTTTGTTTTTTAATTTGTTGCATCCACTTCTATCCTTTAATTTTCTTTTTATGGTAGCAAGTTTGTAATGAACATTGTATTTATTAGTAAAATATTGAAAGATTTAGATGAGTAGATTGCGACCATTTATTAGTGTGTGTTTAGGAAAGATTATTGTTTCTACTTTCAGTTGTTTTAATGAAAATAAAGTTGTTTGTGAAATAATTTATTGTTTGGATAATAACTTAAATATGTAAGAAGTTTTGTTTTAGGAAAGAAAAAAAGTTTTCTTAAATCAGAAAATTTGAACTTCATGATTATTTTTTTATGTCTCTTTTTTTTTCTGTTAAAATGCTTTTTTTAGTTTTATAATTTTATTAACTTTACTCTTAATTTTATAGTTTAAGATAGATTTTTTGATTTTTATATTTATCTTTTTTAAATATTTTTATTTTTATAGTTTAAGATAAGTATTTTTTTAATTTTTATACTCGTAATTTTTTAATCATTTTAATTAATTGTTATTGTTAATTTTTTTTGTAATGTTATTTGTTTTTATATTAGTATGATAGAGATTTTCAATTTTGTGACATTACAAAAATGTCATAGCAATATGGGTTATATATAAGGGTACAAAAGATATATGAAATAAAATGTTGAAAGAAAGATCTAATTTAAAGTAGTTCTAACAAAATAAGTTTGATATCAAACACAAAAAAATTGAATTAATATCTTTATAACGTTAACATAAAAGAAATAACATTAAAAAAATTAACAACAATGACTAAAGATTAAAAAATTTGTAAATATAGAAAATAAAAATATTTATCTTAAACTATAAAATTAAAAAGGATTAAAAAAAGTAAACATAAAAATTACAAATTTATTTTAAATTATATGAACTAAAAGAGAAATTAAATGAAACTGCATAGACTAAAAAGGTATTTTAATCCTATTTTTTCTTCTCAAGCTAATTTATTACATAAAATTGATTTTTTTTATCTAAACGAAATCAAACATCTCAAAATCACTTTTAAGAAAATTTATCCAAACAAGAACTTACTTTGACTATAATTGATTAAATACATAATTAATTATTAAAATAAGCTAATTTTTAATGACTTTCCCAAATGCACTCGTGTTAGTTAAAAATAATTAAAAGATTATACTTTTAATCTTTTATCTTATTTATGAAATTAACTTGAATTTTATCTTTTAAAAAAATTAATTTAATCTTTTATGTTTATTATGTGATTCAAAATGATCTTTTCTATTAAGTTTCTAACGGCTAACATTAAATAATAATAATAATAATAATAATAAATAAGGTTGACTTTTAACTATACATGTTGAAATAGTTTTTTATGTGGCATATGATCAAATCGAATCTTATTAAAATCATGGCGAAAAGACCAAATCAAACCTATTAAAAACACTAAAGGACCAAAATCGCAAAGTTAAAATAGAACTATATATGTTTTAACACAATTCCATAAAGCAGTATTGGAATTAAAACAACCTAAAAATAATATTGAACGTGTTCCAGCGACAAACTATAGGGCCTACCTAAAAATAATATTGAACGTCTTCCTTACTAATATCAAATTTTTTTTACAGTTGATATGTCATCGGACCACGCTGGTTACACGCTCCAGAAAGACGAGAATACGTATTTATGAAATACATTTTTCACGTAATTTTCACTATGATTATAATTATTTTAAATTTAAATGTTAATTAAATTTTGTAATGTTTATATTGGTGAATGTAATGTTATTAGATTGATGTCTTAATCAATAAAATAATGATTCAAAATTATGTCAAAAGTTTGAAAATAATTATTTCTTTTAAAAGATCAAATTAATCAAAATATAAAAGATCAATAACTAAAATAAATATTTTGATTGATAAAAGATAAAAAAAAAAATTTTAAAAAAAATTAAATAATAAAAAATATAATGTAGTCAAATAATTAATTATTATTAAGAACATATTGGTCTAACTAAGTGTGAACACTAAAAGTAGTTATTATAAGAAATGTTTCCTTTTTTTT